TGATCAAACTTCTGCACTTTTAATGATCACCAGCTTTGTCCTGATCCTGAGGTCTTGAGCACTTATCTTACACGTTTCACCTCTGTGACTGTCTCTGGTCACAGTTGCTCAGTGCTTCTGCCTAGGTTGTCTTCTCCATCTATGTCTATACATAAATAATAGAAAGCAACTAGGAAAACTTAAAACTTACTGGTTCAGACGGCTGAGGACAGGGGTCTTCAGGTCTAGCTCTGGCCTCTGGCCACCACTTCTCACTAGTCACTAAGTGCTTTAACTTCTATCTTGTGTAGTTGCTAAACATAGAAAAGAAAGGAAAGATTGCCTCAAAGCTGTGCAGGTCAGGGACCTCTCTGGGCAGACGTGCATTGCTAATTTTTTTCTCTTCTTCATGAATCTGTCTTATAATGAGAGTTTATTCTTGATATATAATCCCATCTAACTAGACATCTATTACTGCCAGCTGACAGGCATCACAGTGTCTCTTGCCTTTGCACCCACTCAAAGACGACAGTCTTCCAGCAGGTCTGCAAAGATGTGCTCCCGCCAGGACAAAGACCAGTGCCACCGGCAAGAACGATCCACATGCCACAGCGGTGAAGGGTGCCACGGGAGCAGCGGTGGATCTGGATGCCACGGGAGCAGAGGATCCGGATGCCACGGGAGCAGCGGTGGATCTGGATGCCACGGGAGCAGTGGTGGATCTGGATGCCATGGGAGCAGAGGATCCGGATGCCATGGAAGCAGTGGTGGATCTGGATGCCATGGGAGCAGTGGTGGGTTTGGATGCCATGGGAGCAGAGGATCCGGATGCCATGGGAGCAGTGGCGGATCCTGCCATGGAAAGCCACGGGATTGCCAGCAGCAAATTTATCAAGTATCCTCAAAGATGAAGTGATGGGGGACATTATCCGCATGTTATACACATTCATGTCCTTGATCTTGTGCTGAGTTCAGAAAGCTTTGCATGTCTCCCAGCAACCTTCAAAGAAAATGTCTCCTCTCCCGCCCCTGGTGAGTCCTGCACCTCTGCTGAGCTTATCTGTGGGTGCTAAAATAAACTGTGTACGTTCACACCGGCATGGTTTTCTCTGAATCAGTCTGTGACTGTATATGAGCCGTTATAATTCTGAGTTCCTGCGAGTTTCGTGTTCATGACTTTTCTTTCGTATGTATTTCATATCACAACACAAGAGGCCTTCTGCTTGTCCGATGGCCCTGGAGTTACCCTGCCCAGACACAAGCACCGGGGGTAGGCACTGCCACACTCTCCCCTCTGGACTCCGAAGGAAAAGAGAGAGAATGAAGATTTTTAAATGCTGACGTTTTAGAAGGCCACCTCGGGCCTCCGCTCTCCTCCACAGCACCTTCCCACGGAGCTGGAGACCCAAAACCCCCCACCAGAACCCCATGGGCTGCATTGCCCAAGCCCTGGGAGCCAGCTCTGGACACAACAGTGGGGCAGAAAAAGTCCTATAGTCAAAGAAAGGCACCCACAAAGGGGCAGAAACCCCTTTTTTGCCCTCTGGCCCCAAGGCACCATCCTTGGGGCAGGGATCTCCACGTCTGTGCGACAAACCCCCCAGCAATCCTTTCTAGAAACCCTCTGCCCAGCGCTTCCAGAGCCCTGGGTCAAGCCAGGGGCGTTGCAAGATGCTCCCGTTGTTACACAACAAACTGATAAATTTCTTCTCGGCTTGTAATTAAAACGAATTGTGTAATTTATTGGTCTGCTATTGCCATTTATGAAATGGATGTTGCCCTGATAAGATTGTTCCCGAGTGTGTCATGAATATTGGAAATATCTGGCATTGCTGGAACGGGTGCAGGCAGCGGCTAACTCCCTCACCAGGCTGCCTGGAATCATCTGAAAAGGCTTGTTGTGCGAGTCTGGCATTTCCCTTAAGCCCCCACTGCAAACCCCATTTTCAAGGCGTGTTAAAGCTGACAGCCACAAAATCTAGAGGCTGCCCAGGACTGCTGGCTGGGTGCTGCCGATCTTTAACAAACTCCGAACAACTAAAACGTAAGGAACTGAACACAGTGCGATGCTGAGAGCTAAACGTTACTTTAAGTCTTTTTTCACAGAGAGTATTTACCGTATTTCTTCCCATGCCAGAACAAAACACCATTAAAGAGAAGTGATCAAGCCTGGGTACAGTTTGCCCTGACACTGTTCTAGTTCATAACAACAATTAAGCAACACAAAAGAAGCATTTAGGTTGCGTACCCGACTCATTAACTCTGCCTTCTCCAACCGCCTTTCCAAAAATTCTCCGTATTTTGGTAACAGCAAATGTGTCAGATGTTTTTCGGGTTGCAGGAACCGCTCAGGACTTGCCGTGCCTTAACAAAGGTTCGGGCACAAAAGGCTGGAAGAGGCACCTCGATGCCCGGCAGCTTGTTTAGTTTTCCAGCCGCTTCCCGAAGGATGCCGGGTCTCTCAAACAGCTTTAGCAAAGGTGGGATGGGGGTTTAGCTAAAACCCCATCCCACTGTGATCAGCGTCTGGGAATAGCATCGAAACTCAATCAGCATGGAGAAAGAAAAATAAAAGGCAGGAGAAGTGGACCAAAAATGCCAAATGCTCAAGCATCTCTGCAGGCAAGCGAAATATTTTTCAACCAGCGTTTTCCAAGCACTGAAAAAATCATAGCAGCTCCCTATTTCAGCTAGAAATACTGATTTTAGTCTTTTATTTGCTGCCTGCTTAACTACTGAAATGCCTTCCCCAAGTAGTGGCAGAAAAGGGCAAAACAAGACCCGTGGTCCTAAGTACTTCTTAGCCCACGCAGCAGAGGTACGGGAAAGGTACAGGGAGTATCTTAAATTATTGCTTGCGATTAGCTCTCTCGGCAAAGGTGGTACCTGGCCTGGCCTGGAGGCTCGTGTGGATCTGTGCGTCCGTCCAAATGACACTCAGATTTGTCGGCCAATTAGGAGCTAATTGGGGAGCAGGGAAAAGTGCTCCAAAAAGGACGTTCCTGCAAGTTTGGAGAAAGTCCCCGGGGTCTGCCAGCTCTCCACAACGTGGCAGCCACCCCCGGCCACCGTGCATCACCGAAGACGGCACCCATGGGAGCCCTGCTCCTCCGCGTGGCAGCACCAAAGCTGCTCACAACCTGGAAAAAAACCACCGGCGCTGCCACTCCGGCGTTACTCAAGCTGAAAGTTAACCACGTAATTATGCGCCTCGCTAATCCTGGATCGCTACCTGGGGCAGATCTTCCCCCTTCCAAAAATAAGCATCCCAGCCGCTTCTGGTCCTTCTCGCAACAGCAGGAAACTTTTGACTGGCAAAAAATTTCCCTCTCTTCACCACTCCACTGTATTTCAGCTGGTTTTAAGAGAAACGAGCCAACAGCCAAATTGCTGCTAAGGAAGAGCTGCCTACGCTGTCAAGGGCATTATTGGCACGTATAGGCACATGTCTGCGTTTATGGGCACTCGCAGGGCTAGAGCACCTCCAGGCATTTTAAAAGCGTGGTGTGATTTAGGTCTATGACATAATTCCCCCCCCAAAAAAGCAAAGCGCTCCCCAGCTGTGATCAACACCACAAACCAACCGGCAAAGCTGTAGAAACCGGGGCCACCCACGCTGCTCCCCCACTGGAGCTAAGCACAGGTAGAGCTGGCAATTAAATATTTCTGCGGCACAGGAAAGACGACCGATAACAAGAGGCGATACCCGGCGCGGATGAGGTGAGTCACACAAGCAACTTGAAGACTGGGGAGGCGAAAAAAAAAAAAAAATAAAAGCCATATCGACAAATTAGATGAGCAGGCAGGCCTCTGCGACAGGGAGGTGCTTCATTTCCAGACGGGGTGCGCAGAGAGGGTATAAAAGCGCTCCTGCCCCGGAAAGCCTCATTCCCTCCTTGCCCCTCCGCTGTGCCAGCATCCGGGGTAAGAGCGGCGACGCCGTGGGGCTCGGCGCAGCGTTCGACGCTCTCTGGGAGGCAGATGGGTTTGGAGCGGGCTGGACCCCGCGCTTCCTAGTGGGTTGGGGCTTGCGCTGCGGGGGCTTG